ATATTATGTATATTAATATAAATGTATAAATGTATTATGTTATATATAATACAAAATATAAATGAATATTATAAATATACATTAATATATATATTATGTATAAATGTACATTTATATAAATGTATAATATATATAATATATAATATATGTTATATTATATATAATTTATATAATATATTAATTTTCATATAAATATATAAAAATATTTATAATATGTATAAATAAATATATAAATATTTAAAATATATAATATACATTAATATTAATTGTAAATATTATAATATTATAAATATGGTGTTTATATAATATTTCAATTTGTAATATTTATTGCATATTTCATTATATAAATATATAATATATAGTTTTCAATTTGTATAATATACATAATATTGTATATATATAATATAATATACATAATATAATATATTATACATAATATACATTATTACACATTATGTATATTATATATTATACATAACATTATTATACATTATTATACACAATAATGTACATAATAATATTATACATTAATAATGTATATATTATAATATAATGTACATAATATATTATGTATAAATATTTACACATTTATGTATACAATATTACATATTATGTATATTATATTATATTATCTATATTATATTATATTATGTATAATATTAATTTATATAAATATTTATATAATATATAATATATATAATTTTCAATTTGTATATTTCAATTTATAATAATATAATATAATATATATTTATATATATAATATACATAATTGAAATATACATATGTAGTTGTTTTTGATATAATATTTGGATATGGTGTTTTTTGAATTGTTTTGGAAATACATATTTACTGTAGCATTTGGAATGTGAAAAACAGTTTTTCAAAAACAGCCCCAAAAACAAGGGATCCAAACACATCCGAAATGTTACAGTGCTGTTTTTGAAAAACAACCCCAAAAATAGCTAATCCAAACGGAGCCATATTTTTTAGCCATTGAATGTGCTAGTAATTAGGGATGTTCGTGAGCCTCGGTCAACAACTCGACTCGAACTCGGGTTGACCGAGTTCGAGTCGAGTTTCGAGTAGCTCGACTCCAAATCGAGTCGAGTTTCGAGTCGCATTTTCCGGGCTCGTGGCTCGTCGAGTAGCTCGACGAGCCGGAGTTAATTAAATAAAATATTTATAATTTAAATAATATATATTTATTATAATTATAAAATGACCATTATGGGTATAAGTTATATGGAATTTATAATATACCCTTCTTTATAATAAAATCCTGTTGGGTTTGTTTGGATTCATTGTTTTTGGGTCTGTTTTTGAAAAACTGTTTTTCACGTTCCAAATGCTACAGTGATGTGTATTTCAAAAACAACTCCAAAAACACTATATCCAAACAATATATCAAAAACAACTCCAAATACATATTTAATATGTTTATTTCAATTTGTATATTTCAATTATGTATAGGATATATATATTATATTAATTTATATTTTATTTTATATAAAATATATTTTTATATTTCTATAATATATTTATACAAATATTATGTATTATATAAATTACATATAATATAAATATGTAATTATACAAATTTATGAATATTAAATATTAAAAATTATATATTTAATATATACATAATATATATGTTTATGTATATTTATAATATACATTTATATTATGTATTATATATAATATTATACATTTATACATTTATATTAATTTACATAATATTAATTATACATTTATACATGATATTAATACCTTTATACATTTATATTTATTATATTAATACACCTATACATAATATTAATATATATTTATAATATATTAATTTATACATTTATAATTTATACACATTTATAATAACATAAATTTATACATTTATAAATACATTTATATTATGTATTATATATAATATAAATGCATTTATAAATACATAAATGCATTTATTTATAAATATATATAAATGTATTATAAATACATAAATGTATATAAATATATAAATATAAAAATTATAATTTATACATTTATACATTTATATAATATTCACTTATAATTTATATATTTATAATAATATACATTTATATATTTATTTATAAATATATATAAATATTTATTTATAAATATATGTAAATATTTATTTATAAATATATGTAAATATTCATTTATAAATATATATAAATATTTATTTATAAATATATATAAATATTCATTTATAAATATATATAAATATTCATTTATAAATATTTATAAAGGTATTTACAAAAATATATAAATATATTTATAAATAAATATAAAAATTTAAAATTTAAAATTTATACATTTATATAATATTCATTTACACATTTATAAAAATATTTATATTATGTATTATATATAATATAATACATTTATAATACATTTACTTATATTTATATAAATATATAAATATATTTATTTATAAATGTATTATAAATGCATAAATGTATATAAATATAAAAATATAAAAATTATAATTTATAATTTATACATTTATATGATATTCATTTATAATTTATATATTTATAAATGTATTTATATTATGTATTATACATAATATAATACATTTTTATTTATTTATAAATATGTAAATTTATTTATTTATAAATATTTATAAATGTATTATAAATGCATAAATGTATATAAATATAATAATATAAAAATTGGAAATTATAATTTATACATTTATACATTTATATGATATTCATTTATAATTTATACATTTATAATTTATATATTTTTATATAAATATATTTATTTATAAATATTTATAAATGTATTATAAATGCATAAATATATATTGTTATAAAAATATAAAAATTATAAATTATAAAAATACTTGAAAATATGTTTTAAAAATACATCTACAAATAATCCATAAAACATCTACAGTAAAAGTTTTTCATATAGTTTTTGAAAAACAACCTCAAAAATAACTAATCCAAACGGACTTGTATTTGAAAAACGAAATGCTACAGTGCTGTTTTTGAAAAACAACCCCAAAAACAGCTAATCCAAACGGACCCTTAATGGCAAAAAAGTAATAACATAATTGTAAAAAACACTAAAAAGAAAAAATGTCTAAAAAAAAAGGAAGAAAAGACTTTCTTCCTTCTCTGTGCGACTTTCTTCTCTGTTCGAAGAAAGCCTAGCAAAAAAATTCACTTTACCAGCCGGCAGCCACTGACTCTGACTGATTTAGATCTACACCCTCACTCCGTTCGTCGCCGACGCCGTTGCTCGCCGCATCTGTGAGACTCCATCGCCATCGCCATCGCCTTAACAAGTCCCAAGTCCCAAGTCCCAAATCGAAGCTGCTCTCTGCCTCTCCGGCCTCCGCCAGTCCGCCGCGCTGTACGTCTCCTGTCGGCTGTGTCCTGCCGTGCTGGTTCATCGCTGCCGAGTGTCGAAGACGAAGCACCAAGATCTCACTAGTTCATCGCTGGTTCATCACTGCTCATCTCTGGCTCACTTAGGTAAGTGCTCCTCTGTTTTTGGCTCTGTGTCTCTGGCATTAAAATGGGCCAAGATCGACTAGGAAACTTGTTATCCTGAATTGATAAGGGGACGAAATCTGAGCTTCCAATTGCAAACTCTAACTGTTGTAGTAGTTTAGATTAGGTGTGATATAACATAAGCTTTGTATTTTATACACAAGAAGCTCTCTCCAGTTGTGCAGCCTTTAAAAGTTAAGGCCTTGGGGTTGAGGCTATGTATAGACATTTGTAATCTTGTAGAAAGTGGGGTTGAGGCTATGTGTTGGTGTTCCACTTCGGGTGTTCTGTTTACGGAGTCTTGAAGGTCTTAACTTGCTTGTTTGATGCTAGAGTTTGCACACTTGCGACTTCTGAAAGATTTACATTTCTGGGACCACACATGTATTAGCTTTAAGTACAATGTGATTTCTGTGCTATTTAGTCAATTTTTATAATTTCATGGCTGAAAGGAATAAATTTGCTTATTTTATGTGTTCCTGGGTAGTTAAAACCTTTATTTGAAGTTTTTGTAGTAGAAGCTACATTCCATCAGATAGTTGTTAGTGTTGTTTGAGGATTTTGCTCTAGTATCTGCTGCATTTTCCTTTTTTGCCTGCCGTTTGTATAAACTTAATGACTATTGTCTAGTTTTGTTGCATTAGTTCGTGCCTGCATTAATTTTTTTGCTCAGAAATATTAATTGTTAGATCTGTGTCGTTTTCTTGTGATTCTAGTTTGGAACTTGTTCTTTTCATTTTCTTGTTATTCAAGTTATATTCCATCAGAGAGAGAGGTGTAGCTGTATTTGAGCATTCATTTTTGCATGTTGAAAATAAGATCTTGAGTGCTGTTGATTGCTATTTTTAATTTTACTTTTATTACAAATGGATTTAGATCTGCTTTGTACGTAGATGATTATACTTGTGTTTATGCATGTAGCTGTGCCAAAGTTTATCGGTCTTCATACATGCCCTTATGACCTCCTCAGTTGAGCACATGCGCATGCCTTTCTCTCTCTTTAGATTCAACTCCTGGATACTGAGTTGACTGGTTGCATCTCTACACTATTGCTGTCATCTCCTATTATGATTCTTTTAAGGAAATATGGTTTTACCGACATTAATCCCAGGGTTCCATTGTTGGGCAGGACTTAACAACTTATTATGGTCCTATGCTATGAGGCATTTGTCGTGGTAGAAGAGTTCCTTTTCTTCCCTTGTTTACCCGCGTATAGAAGTATAAAGCTGTTTACAGTCACCTTTGATCTGGTTTTTTGGTCAAATCGAGTAAAAAAGCTTGATAAGACTCGACTTGATAAGGCTCGATTAAAGATCGAGCCTTATTGAGTCGAGTCTCGAGCCTAAGGAAATTCTTCGAGTCGATCTTCGAGTATCGATTTTCGGGCTCGATCGAGCTCGAGTCGAGCTCGAGCCTCTGTGTGTATGAGTCGAGTCGAGCTCGAGTATAGCGATACTCGAGCTCGACTCGACTCGATTACATCCCTAGTAGTAATCACCAGCATGTAACTGTACAAAAATTTTGTATCCTCCCTCATTATTTGCGTTGGGGAACAAATGATGAGTCTATGTAACATTGGTATAAAGTGTATTTTAATAAAAAGGTTCAATTAAATGTGCAATTAGGTTGAAAAGATCCATAAGATGGGTTAGAAAGGTAAATTTCTCAAGTACTAGGGGCTGAAATTATATTAAAAAAGTACAAAATTGTCAAGAAATCAAGTTACTTGTTGAAAAAGATAATAAAGTCAAAATACATAATTTTCATTGTCAAACCCTACATTCCTGATCCCTCATTCAGGTGCAGCCAAACAGAGCACCTCTTCGGCTCTTCTTCTCTTATTAACTAAAACAAAGCCACTCTTCCTCTTCCTCTTAGATTAGATGCCATCGTTACAAAATCTCCTCCTCTGCCATTGAAAGAGAATCAACAGCCGGTACTTATTAAGCGAAAAGACAGCAGGTATGGTGAGTGTTTTTCTTTTCAAATCTGTAGCAGCCTTCTTCTTCTTTCTTTCTCATCCGCAGAACTACCCTACTGGTAGTTCTAATCTTTTAATTGATTTTTAAGCCTTGGTTTGAACTTAGGTGTTTGGTTGTTCTTTTTTTACTTTAAAATTGCTTGTAATTTTCTATTACATTGTTTTTTTTTTGTCATGGAGTTTGATCAGATTACCCAGGGTTTAAGAAAAAGAAATTGATGAAACAGTAAAATGCAAATTCCAAGGTCAGGAAATGGGGTTTAATTGTATTAATAATTCTGCAAAACTATTATAGAAACAGAGGAAATGGAATAAGGAGAGAAGGGGAGAGGAATGAAGGAAACAAGGTCTTCTGATTGATATTTAACTGCGGGTAGCAAGTAAGCAGTGTAAGAAGTTGCATACATTGATTGTCCTTTTCCAGACACAACATATTTTTCTTGAAAAATGAAATTTCAGTTTGTGATTCCTTCCGTTGCCTTTACATTCTAAGCTTGTTATACCACAGTTGGGTGGCCTTATCTTCTAACCCAATAACTTGGCACGTTGAGCAATTGCCATACTTTCCCATTGTACATTTGCATGTCCTATTATCATACATTCAAAGTCAAAGAAGTTGACTTTAATTCCTTCTTGTAAGTTCTCCAAAATGTTGAGCATAACTTGCTTGAATGTAACTAGTCCTCGGAAAGATGAAGTTGTGTGATAGCAGACCAGGTGATCACCATGACCTGAGCTTTCATGCAGAGATAGAAATCCAGAAATCTCAGAAAGCCATTCGCAATAAAAAAATTGAGGATCTTCGGAATTAGTTACTAAGAGATCTTCTGAACAAATAACAGCAATACTTGACAGGATTTCACACACTGCATCATAAACAGTCTCTCTTGAAGCTCTATCAACACTCTTGAATAGAAAGTGAAGAAAAATAAATTGATACATAGCTACTGTAGATGATGTTCTTCCTAAGAATCCATCAATTGCCTCGATACATAGTATTTTTCTTTTCAAATGTCTAGCAGCCTTCTTCTTCTTTCTTTCTCATCCGTAGAGCCACCCTGCTGATAGTTCTAATCTTGTAATTGATTTTTCAGCCTTGGTTTGAATTTTTAGGTGTTTGGTTGTTCTTTTTTTACTTTAAAATTGCTTGTAATTTTCTATTAAATTGCTTTTTTTTTTTTGGGTTTTGGAGTGGCTGTAATTGGACATATTTCATAGTGAACTTTGGCATTGTTAAGGTTTGAACGATCAGGTCGTAAAGATAGTGATGAAGTTGATGATAATTGTATACTGGTACTTTGTGTTGATAATGAAGAAAGTTGGATGTTAGGATTCTTGGCCTTATACCCGAATTGGAAATTTGATGATGAAGATTTTTAAGCCTTGTTCCAAGTTTAAAAACATTGTTTACAACTACTGTCTATCGGAATTTAGTAATTTGTTTTCTAGAAAGAAATGATGGTGGAGGAGAAACGAGAAGTAGAAGAAGAGGAGGTAAAGGTGGTGGAGGAGGAGGAGGAGGAAAGAATTCAGAGCTTCAAAGAATTGGGAGTGTGCTCAGAGCTGGTGGAGGCGTGCGACAATTTGGGATGGAAAGCACCCACAAGGATTCAGATGGAGGCAATTCCCCACGCCATTCAAGGGAACGACATCATTGGACTTGCCCAAACTGGTTCGGGTAAAACCGCTGCTTTTGCTCTGCCAATTCTCCAAGCTCTTCTTCAAGCTCCCCAACCTTTCTTTGCCTGTGTCCTTTCTCCCACACGGTTTCTATTTCTTCCCTTTTCCTTTATCTTATTTATCTATTCACTTATGTAATTCTTCTGCACGGTACGATTTTTTTCTAAAATTTATATTGTTTTTGCTTACAGAGAGCTGGCTATTCAAATTTCTGAACAGTTTGAAGCTTTGGGATCAGGGATTGGTGTAAAGTGTGCTGTGGTCTGCCTTCTTTTTCTCTTTTCTATTTTTTTGCCTTTGGGAAACTTTAACCTTATAGATCAATTTCTTCAAACCAAAATAGAAATGTTAATGCTTATGATTCCCCACTGCCTTTTATTTTTTTAAAATTATTTTGTACACTTCAAAATTTTGTTTCTGTAACTGAAGAGATTACTGTTGCTTATGTAGTAGATTAACTTGTGGTGTACAATTATTTTCCAGCTTGTTGGAGGAGTTGCCCAAACTGACCAGAGCATTGCCCTTGCTAAGCGCCCCCATATTGTTGTCAGTTTCATTCTTCCTCCTTTTTTTCCCTCCTTTTTCAGCTTTTCTATTTTCTTCTTCATTTTAGGAGTTTCTCTTTACTGCTTCATTTCCAAAGCCACATCCATTTTCTTTGCTGCTTATACTTATCTTTTCCATCTTTCCTCAATTTTAGGTGGCAACCCCTGGTCGCCTTGTTGATCATCTTTCAAATACTAAAGGTTTTACCCTGCGTATGTTGAAGTACTTGGTAAGTTTCCTTCATATGTGGAAAACGTTTGGAGTTGTGTTTTGATAATTTTTTTCTCTATGTTAGGTATATGCTTGTAATACCCCTGCGTGCATGCCTTAGGACTCGAAAAAAGTTTGTTGTTATTTTGGACTGATGGGTCATTTGCTTCCAAGATAGCTGTGTATACAAGTTTGCATACTTTGAACATGAGTGACTCTCTCTCTTTCTCCTGATTTGATCCCAATTTCTGCCAAAAATGCAAAAGATCAGGCTCTGTATGATGTGAAATACTTGTTGCTCTGGATATGATGGTTCCTCATCTTTCTTTAAAGGACATTAATCCTGTGTTTTAATGGCAGGTATTGGATGAAGCAGACAGGTTGCTGAATGAGGATTTTGAGAAATCACTCGATGAGATATTGAATGTTATTCCTCGTGAAAGGAAGACATATTTGTTTTCTGCTACCATGACAAAGAAGGTACATGGTCAATTAATTATTTTGTTTTGCTTGTGCAGAACTATATTAGCTGATCTTTTCTGTGTCGTGTAGCTGTGAGCTGAGCTCAATATTAAGAGAAATCACTGGCAAACAAGTGCAAGTGTTATGTTGTTCTGTAAAAAGTACCATGGTACTGAAAAAACTGTGATTCTTGTTTTACAGGTCAAGAAGCTCCAGAGGGCATGTCTGAGGAATCCTGTGAAGGTAGTATGGTTGTTACCCCACTATTCTGGATGTTCTTTGGGAGTGGATGATCTGACTTTGTTTGCATTTTCTTTCAGATAGAAGCTGCATCTAAGTATTCTACAGTGGATACGCTTAAGCAACAGTATCGCTTTGTTCCTGCAAAGTATAAGGTATGCCTTTTCTGCAGTGTCACATTTCTCTTAGTTGATTGGGCATATGCTTGTGTGCTTGCATTGTTTCTGCATGCCATAATATGTGTTTCCACTCTGTTACTGAAATTCGTTTGGGCAAATATGCTAAATCACTCATTGTTCTTTTCTTTCTTTCTTCTGAAATCAAATTACTTGCCGTGCAGGAATGCTATCTTGTTTATATTCTAACTGAGATGTCTGGAAGCACATCGATGGTGTTTACACGTACATGTGATGCAACTGGTCTTTTGGCTTTGATGCTGAGGAACCTGGGCTTAAGGGCCATCCCTATTAGTGGCCATATGACCCAGGTATGGCCACTAAGTGTGTTGAGAATTTGTCATAGTGAAGTTCGTTTTCAACTGCATATGTTTCTGGTTAATCGTTTATTGCTTCTCTATTTAGCGTGCTCTCACGTTTTGATTTCTCTGGACAGGCAAAAAGACTCGGAGCCTTGAACAAGTTTAAGGGTGGAGAATGTAATATCCTCATTTGTACTGATGTTGCTAGTAGAGGGCTAGATATTCCATCTGTTGATATGGTTATTAATTATGATATCCCCACAAACTCAAAGGTCAGTTTCTTTCCTTGTTTTTCAAGTTGGCATTCTAAATTCATGTTTCCCATACTCTAAAATTTTTTAAGTTCTTGATAACTGCTTCAGTCAAGATTTAACTTTGACTACCTCTGTTTTGTCTGCTGTTGCAGCATTGTTGTCTCTTCTCAAGGAATTATCTTTGCCTTTTCTCTATCTTGTGCTGTTCTGGATGCTGACTGCTTGCCACGTGCCTTTGCTTCTAAATTGCATTTTATGTTTCAGTATCATGTTAAGTTATGGAAGAAATGTTCTGTGCTCTTTTCCCTCTTATTTACTATTATTTAGACTAGGCCTTTACACCTTATTGGGCTCTGCCTTCCTATCATCTTTGATGGTGCTGTTTTTTCCTGTTCTAATGGCATTTGTCGTAATTCATGGACGACTAAGTTGTGCTTTGTCAAGAATGGGCAGCTTGACCTAAGGGCATGAGGAAGTTAGGAGAGGGTGTCAGGATGTGGGTTTGTGTCTGATTCCTTGCGGTTACTGGATTGTGTTTTGTTGTATCTATGAAACAGACATCTTTGTGATTTATTATGTGTAAAAAGTTTTGCTAACTTATATAATGTGCTATACCTTATTGAATGAATGCTCTCCAGGACTATATACATCGGGTTGGAAGAACTGCTCGCGCAGGACGATCAGGTGTTGCCATTTCATTAGTCAATCAGTATGAGTTGGAGTGGTATATACAAATAGAGAAGCTCATTGGTATGAACACATCCTGTACTCTATGGGCGTTTTGTAGATGTGATGTAATCTCTGTTCTTCGGATTTACATTTTTATGTCTCAGGGAAGAAGTTACCCGAATTCCCAGCTCAAGAAGAAGAAGTCTTGCTTCTGTTGGAGCGGGTCACGGAGGCTAAAAGAATCTCTCAAATGGTACAAAGTTGTATTTTTGGTTTTAAACATCTTTGCAATAACTGATTTGGGTTGCCTTGCACCTAGCTGCTACTCTCTCTCTCTCCCTCTCCCTTCCTCTCCCTCTCCATCATGATGGCATTTGCTTTGGTCCTTGGCGCCCCTTTCCTCCCTCTCACAAATTAGCATTCTGCCCTTAGAAACGTGCGCTAGTTGACTATTTCTATGATTTATCTTTGACAGAAACTCAAAGAAACTGGTGGGAAGAAGAAACGAAGGGGAGGAGATGACGTCGACGAAGATGTTGATAGATATTTAGGTTTGAAGAATGGGAAAGCAAAAAAGTTTAAAAATCGATGATGATAGAATGAATGCAGCAGTAGCTTACAGGGTTTTCAGATATTAGCAATCGGAAATATGAAAAAGCTTAGGAAGAGATCATGAAGGGGGAAGATTTGAAAATGTAAAATCATTTAAGAAGCCTGAGTAAAGATCCCTACCAATTTTGTTCCATTTTAATCCTAGATGGGGTACGATAGAATTTTAGTTCTTTTTGCTTTTTAAATATAATTGTATTGTTGCCTAAAGGTTTCTATATTATTGTTTAGAAACTGATTATGAAGCGAAAAATTGTGCATTTATGGGCTATACTGGGCAAAAAATGTCTGCTGTAGTTTGGTATGATCACTTAACATCACCAACCTTGGCTTGATGCTTGTGTTGAAGTAATCGCTGAGTGTGATAGGATGGTACCCAAGGCGGAGCGACTCTCGACCCCTTCCAAAATGGATACAAGTTGAAACTAGTTAAAGATGCTTGCTGCATCTGGCGGATCATTTATTTTCCATATTGAGATGCTAATGTTGCCGTTTTGCTATTACTAATTAGATGAGACTAAAATATGATGTTTATGAATGAGAAATAGTAATATAATGCTATTACTAATCAGATGAGACTAAAATATGATATTTATGAATGGAAAATAATAATATAATAAAAAGTGGTATACGGAGTGGTATAGGAAATGAGATAAAAGATTCGTTGCGTTAAGCTCTATCTTCTTATTTGTCTATTTATTATTGATCGTACTCATTGAATGAAGTGTTCTCAAGAGGAGTGAAAAATCATAGCTCCTAGGCATGAGGGAGTGCTCAAAATTGTGAAGAGCTTTCAGGTCTCACTCCGTGGAAGAGATCAAAGTGTACTTGGAAACTCTGAACTTGGAGAAATATATGAATATATGTATCAAATGTGGTAAGAAAATCACTGTAAATCTGTAAGACCATTACTTTGTGCATTTACTGATGTTACTATTAATTGATCAATCGTCAAGCTTAAGCTCCTGGAATCATTATCATGGAGATTGATTGTATCTATTATTGATTCATTTTACATTTTGCTTTTCTTAAGATATGTAAGAAGCTGATATTTGACTAATTGGCAAAAATCTGAATCGAACTTTCTGCAGCTCTGCTCAACCTAGGACAACAAACTTGTGAAGCAGTATCACTTAGAAAGATGCTGAAGGCCTCTTGATTGGTTCTCTTTCTTCCTAGTCAGAGGGAGGTTTCACAAATGAAAAAGGATGTTACCACTATGATAAAAATTATATAAATCCTAAATTAAGATAAATTGACTTTGCTTGCACATTGCCAACAAGATCCCTGCATGTTTTTCAAGTGAAGATAAGGCACATGAAGCCATGAAAACCAATTTGAATCTGCACTAAATCCAATAACCCTGCCTTGTTTATCTATTTGAAACAAATTTCCCTACACTGATGAAAGTAAATCCTTAAAAATCAAATCATCTGCTGGAGAAAGTAGTTCACAAATGGGGGTTAGTGGTGGATTAATTCCACGTTTTCGTCTAATGCAGATCAGCAACAGAAGACCATATACGTTCCAAGTCCCTTGTAAAATCTTTTTCTCTACCTAAAACTACACTGCCGTGGTTGGCATTGGCAATCTTGTCAATCTCTGCTTCTTGAACTTGCTTTTGAATGTTGATGCTGCATTCAATTGGGACTACTTGATCTCTAGTGCCTTGGATAACATTGATTTTCACTTTGGCCAATCTCAAAGTCTCCAAGTACTTATCAGCTAATTTAGCCCCTCCACATATGACATTATGCATTGTGTGCCAAGCAGAATGATGAGTATGCCGAGTCAAGTCTATAAACGTAAAATGTAGATTCCTGAAGCAGAAAGAGGTACAATTCAGTTCTACTTTGAAAATTTTCAAGGATTGTTGAAATGCATCCACACAAAAAAATAAATAAATAAAATAAAATCAAGATTGATGCTTATTGTATAATTTACCTTCTCCTGGTGATGAATTTCAAGAGTGATTCCCACATTTTATGATTTCGGCAAATAATGAAGCACACACATCTGCCTAAGTGTTCATACCAAGACATAAATGATGAACCAAATAAAAGAGGTGGCCACAGTCTTTTCGCTGCAAGTCTTTCAAGTGCTACCATACTAGCATCCTCTCTCAAAGAAGAGAAGTAAGGCTGAAATAGCATGAGATCACATTGTCATATAGACACAACAGAAATGAAAAACAAGAAGGAAAAATAACAGAATTGTATCGTAAAAGGATTCTGGGACAAAATTTGATCATCCCATGACGCTTCTCACTTTATAGCTTCAAACAGCATTTTACTGTTTAACATATCGTGCACTCACCGGTGCTATGAGGGTTATTGATTTCACAGATTTAGAATGTTTTGCAGCTAATGCCAAAGCAATGATACACCCCATGGAGTGTGCAACTAGATGAAATGAATTCAGCTGATATGGACCGATCACTGAGTACTCAATCATTTCTAGGTGATCCTTGAGGGTGTAAAAACAGTCCCTTGGTTTTGGACTTCTCCCAAATCCCAATAGATCTACAGCAAACAATCTGCAATTTTGCTTTGCAGATTCAGATAAATTAGGAAATACAGTTTCTGTCCAGAATGAGGAGGATGAGAGAAAACCATGCAAAAATATCACATTTTCGGCTTCCCTTTCTTTGCTGCCCACCCAGCTAGCTGCCAAACACACAATGTCTGTCATTACCAACTCTTGCACAAAAAAGTCAGATGAGCTTTTGGAATGCTGATGCAACATGTTTTTAGTGATGCAGCAAATCTTGTACCGAAAATATTCAAATGCAAGTTCCTTATCTAACATGTGAAAATTCTTCTTTAATGGTTTGCTCCCAAAAAGCATAGCTTTTGATTCTTCCAGGCAAGGTAGTGAGAGAATAATGCTAGTGGAAATAAGAAATACAGATAGAAGAAACATTTCTGTCGATTTATCATAGAAATCTACATGGATTATGTCTATTTTGCCAACTGATATGCATGTTTCTTTGAGTATTATTAATTGAAATGGCCAGAACAACCATCAAATTTGGACTTTTGATTAAAAAATGTGACTGGAAAGTTTTCAAAACAGAAAAATTAATCATCAATTTTGAATTTTACTGCTTTAAGCATTTGAGATAATGTCTTTTCTGCTTAGGCCTCAGTCCAATAATTTCAGTAGCTTCTTTGAGTGCCCTTGTTATTGTCAGAGTTTTCTTAGAAAATACCCTAATACAATGCCAGTTTAATGATTGAACATCTTTAAATTGTTTATATCATCCACAAGTTATGCTGCTGAAATTGTTGTTTGTTAAAGTATAAAGAAAGCAGCTTTGTCTGTGCAGGCATACACTGTTGAAATCATCTTTAGGGGGCCCAATCTACGTAATAGAATTGCTTGAAATACAAAGAACAGGGTGAGCAGGGAAACTAGTTGCTGCAATACTTCGAGAGATTGACTTGTCAATAAGGTTCAAGAAACTGAATTATCAGTAGTGTTACTAGATGTTGAGGCACACCTAACAAAGCCAAAAAATTCCACTAGTTATAATGGTCCAAAAAGGCAAGAACAATCCTTGCTAAATCCCAATTCTTCTGTTGGATATACTCTTCCTAAAAGTATTATGCCACTTCTAATTTAATCCAGCAAGGGCTCCTTATCTAGCTGACAAAATACAAAGGGCAGGTTAACCAGGGGAGCTAGTTGCTGCATTACCTTCAGAGATGGAGTAGTCGCTAAGGTTCCAGAAACTGGAGAATCATTGGAACTGGATACTCAGCCACACCTAACAAAGGCAGAAATAGCCACTCATCATAATGGTCCCAAAACTATCCTAAAATTGTTCTGCTGGGCATACTCTTTCTAAAAGTGTTATGGGCATTTTTATCTTATCCGGCTGCAGCTCCTTATCTAGCCACAAAACACAAAGGACAAGAACAGATTCCACATTACATTAGCTCACAGCCTCACACTATTCCAAGAGTCTGCCTGCAGTTTGTCATTTTATAACCTATTAGCATCATTTACTGCATTTTGCAAAGCCAATTGAACTCTAAAGAGAAAGAAGTTTTTGAATGAAACTGTTTGGTTAAGTTCAAGATTATACTATTCTAGAAGAAAAATTTTTATAATATTGGCAAATTTAATCTCTACGTACATTAATGCGATTACATATTAATCTCTCTTGCTGCAAATTTTACATGCAAAACCGTGACAGCTGATCCATAAAATTCCATCCAAAAGGACTACAGGGACCAAATATCTACCATCCTCGGGACTGAAATGACACCAAATTAGCAATTTCATTTACCACTTCTAGTTCTAAAGCAGATAAACTAGAACGAGACGAGGGAGCTCACATTCGATACTAAAACTCCAAAAATGACATGGATTGCAAATTCAGCAAAATCCCATGGTTTACAATTTTGCATTAGAAATTGGATAACTTTTATTTACTCTCAATATATAATTATATTTATGCTAACAAATTTAGATTATACCACGTACTATGAATTCAAATTAAGGACATGTGGCGTATATCCATAGCTATTAGAGTAAAAAAATCACTATACTGGTAATGCACAAAAAGTTAATCCTTAGAAATTAATGTGAAATTGTTGTAGTATAAAGGTTAAAACATGAGGGACTAAATCTATAATATCACAAATGCAACACATACAGTTTTACCTCTTTCTGTCTGTGGTTCTTGGACCACAACGTGAAGCTTTGGATCATCAGCATTTTTCATCCACTCAACACAAGAATCACACCCACAATCAGACCACCTGGTGCCATGCCTCATCTGCAAGAATGATTCACCATTTCTCCATCCTTTTGGAACCAAAGAAATCCCAAGTGACCCCAATAAGCCCCTAAAGAAATTTCTCCTTCGATGAAGCGTTTCAGACAGCTCACTCTCTCCATCAACTTCCACTTGAGCAACTTGATGACAATCACCTGTCTTCTCCTTTTCCTCCATTAATTCCATGCAGTAACATGAAGAATAGGCTTTTCCTTCCAGGAATTCATCCAACAATCTATAGAAAATGCACATGAAAACTTCAAGAAAATCCAGGAACAAAAATACCATCCAACTTATTGCTGCTATAATGATTTCTAGACCCTTTTGAATCCATTTTCCAGATTGAACTAGGGTGGCCATTCTCCTCCTCTCACTGCGTGTGAGTGTGTGTGATAAAAGGGAGGGAAGGGGTTGAGGTTTTTGGCTTTTTGGGAGGAGGAGGGAGAGTTGGCGTTCGGTCAGAGGAAAAGTAGGAGTTGAACTCC